CGGGGCGTGACCATATATATATATATATGTGTGTGTGTGTGTTTGTGTATATATACATATGTATGCATACCTGTACAACCCTCTCTAATGGGATGCCTAGACTGGTATAGCCTGTCTAGATAGATGGCTATCTAACAAGATCAAGGTCCTTGCCTATGGTGATGTCTTGAAACAATCTCTAAAAGGACCCTACAAAGTCTTGCAATCCTGATATACCTCTTGGGTCCCTAGCGCCCCCCCTTTTCTGAGAAACTGCCATCCACAAAAACCCGACCTGGCAGCTTATCTAACTGATGATCCCCTTTTGGGTAGGACCTTGTCATAAACGGCAGCCTGAAAAGCAACCATAATTTAGTCAACCTATATCCAACTACAAGCCCCCAAGTTTTCATTTAATGTCCCATGTTTGTCCTGTTTACAATTCCATTGTTGGGATAAAGCCCCTAGACTCTATATCTCCTTTTATATCCCCTCAAAGGGACCTAGGATTGCCATTTGCTTTTCCATTTGATAGTGGGAATCCTGCACTGCATCGCGTAGGTGGAGGTTACTGCCTTCAGATTCTGTTTCACCGTTACTCATCTGAAGTCTGAAGCCCATCGCCCGTAAGGAGCAGAGCCCGTTCGCTCAGAGTTCAATTCAAATTTCAATCGGATTTTTTAAATCATTATTTAGACACTCAAGACATGTGATTGAAGCCCCTACATCAACACAGTTTCTATTTAATTTCCATGTTCGTTTACATTTTTATTTTGCATTTGGGGGGGACTAGCCTTCTAATACCCCTACATAGACCTAGTTTCCATGTACTGCCCCTATACCCCCCAAAACATCCCCGCATAATCCCTACATGCCCCCTATGTAATCCCTATATAGGGGAGTACCCTAACCCTAAGCCTTAAACCCCGAACTCTAAACCCTAAACCCAGAACCCTTAACCTCAAACCCAGAACCCTAAACCCTAAACCCCCCCCCAAAAAAAAAGAACCCTAAACCCCAATCCCTAAGACATGTGCGTAAGACCCTGAGAAGCCAAGCCAAGGCTGAGACGCCTGCAGCTGCTGCCGAGCCGACTCCCACTGCAGAGCCTGCAGAGGTAGTTCAGGGTTTAGGGGTTCAGG